TCAAACTTTCTCACAGAACAAGCAAAAATTGTTGAATCGCTGAAGAACAAGCAAAAATCACTGAAGGTTTATCAGGTAAGTCTTTTTTTCCCCAAATCAGAAAAACTTTCCGTCAATTTGAAGAACACGATTTTCTCTCCAAGCTAAGTCTGAAGAACACGATTTTCGTCAAACATTCTCACAGATTTCACGATTTCACGTTGAAGAGCTGAAGAGCTACTCGCTAAAGAACACGATTTCACGATTTCTTATTGAAGAGCAGAAGGTTATGCCTCACAGATGAACACACCTCACTAAAATGCTTCACTTGAGAAGATGGTGTCTTAAAGCTTCATCACATTGAAAGGATTTTGGTGGAATAGGGTTTATCAGGTAAAAAATTCTATCTTTGAAAGTCTAAATTTTAGCTTTAGGGTTTTGATATTCTTGTGTCTGCAAATATGATTTTTGTTGATTTTTGGGAGTCTAGCTCGTAGTTGTATTACCCACATCAGTTGATTAATCACTAAATAAGTATAAATCAACAAGGAAAGCATACAAATCTGGGTGTTTGTGGGAAGTTGATAAATACTTGTTTGCATTTTTTGGAGCATATGGTTGAAAGAAATATGAGGTGTTTTGATGGGGTCTCAACTCCCATAGATTCTTTAAAGGCCAAACGTAATGCTAGTTTATTAATCACTAAATTAGTGTAAATCTTATAAGTATTATGTTTTTGTTGCTTCAACTTTATTAGTTTCTGAAATTGTTTATCTAGTCATGCTTTCCATTTTATTTAGATTTTAGGGTGCAGTGATTAAGTTAGCTTTGGATAATTTTGGATAGAAATGAATGGCTAAGCATTCTTCTGGAAACTGATTACAAGTGTTAAAGAATTGTGGACTTGTACGTGCGAAACTGACGAAGAAATTTTCAAGTTGAGACCATTGTGTAGAACTACATATAGAGGTACAATTGGTCCTAGTTGCAAGGATCGGGGAGGATGTTTGATTCTTTTCAACTTTTTCCTCCTGAAAGTAGTCAAACCCAATTTTTCTAGAACATAGCTTCATTTGGCCAACTTGGTCAGCTGCTGGTAGGTGTAAAATTGCTATAGAATGTCAGAGTTATGACTCCATTTAGATAGGAAGTCAGCTGTACAGTTTGCCTCTCTATATATGTGATTGCACTTGAAGATTTCCAGCTGATTTGTGAGCCTTTGAAGGTCCTGAATACACTGTTGGAGTGCCCATGGAGGGTGGTTGCTGTGATTTAGCCAATGTATAAGCAGTTGAGAATCAACTTTCAGCTGAATTTTCCTATACCCATGTTGTATGCACCAGTCCACCCCATGTATTGTAGCTCAAATCTCTGTCTGGTTATTAGTTCCTAAGCCGAGAGGAATAGAGAATGCATAGTTAATGTAAAAAATTTGGCTGCTTTACTTCTACTGTGATTTCTACTTTTTAACTTTATAAACTCTGACTACACTTACTGATTCGTCCTTTGTTCGACTTCTGTGGATTACATCCCGCTGACTGTGAAGTTGTTGTGCTTCATTTTTTCCCCTTTCGTTTGATCTGTGGGCTCTGTGTGGAGTTTATTTTGTCGGCCTACACTTGATTGTTCAATTTTATTTTGTTGGCATACACATAATTGTGTAAATTTTGTTTTTGTTCTTGCTGTCAGCAAACTTAACAAAGTTTTAGCTGTTTTGCGAGTAGGAGTTAAGGTTCTTCTATGTAGTAGTTATGTGTATTGGATGGAGCTGATAGAGTGAAGAAAGTTGAATTCACACTTCACTCAGCCCATTTTCCCCTCCATAAGAACACACCAGCAAATACAATACCAAAATTAAATTTCATGAATATCATTAGCCCTATTCCTATCAAATACTATCTCTTTTGGCGAATGCGATACGCACCCATTGACATTGAATTGGATGAATATCACCATCCTTATCATTATCAAATACTATCTCTTTTGGCGAATGTGATACACACCCGTGGACATTTAGTTGGTTTTACTATAAAAATGAATACATTGTGCAGTGGCAGTTGTTGTTCTTTACCAATTTAAAATAGATATACACATTGAACATGCAGGGCTAATGAGTTCTAAAGAAAAGAATGATGACTCCCTCTCAACAAAAAGGTCTGCTGAGATGAAACTTAGACGACGTGAAATGGATAGACTGGTTTCTGCAGAAAAGAGAGAGGCACAATTACTACAACGTCAAACAAACAGTCAGGAGCTAAAAAGAAATATTATATCTGCAACATCAGCTTTTCATGTGCAAGATCATCCTGCTGCAAGTGTACAAGGCTGCTGCTCCACCTCTCAGAATCCTCATCAAATGGACTTTTCTACTATTCCCGCAGCAAAAGGTCATGTCAAAAAACTTTTCTTATTAACTTGGAATTTATACATGTGGTGATGATGGAATGACAATAGATATTTATATTTGCAGGGTATTTTTGAAGGAAAAACGTAATGAAGAATGTACATATTCTGTTTGGAATTAAGCTGTAAGATAGTCATGTTATGACTTATTGAGTTCATTACTTAATTGATGTAAGATGGTACACTGCTGCTAACAAGAGATAGAAGACACACATAGATACATATTAATTAGGCGTCATCACCTACATTGACTCCTCCAAGTCAGAGTAAAATTCTAGAATCATCAAATCTGAAAAGCTTTGTTGGAATTCAGGGTTTGATTCTTTAGCATCATCATTCTCTCTTTGATCTGCTTTTACTAAATTATTTTCGAATTTGTCATTTACTTTTTAAATTTTGTTTCTATTATGTGAAATAGCTATGAAAATTGTTTAATTAGCATACACCTACTTTAAAAGTACTAAAATTTATGCTTAGATAATGTTATGCAATTTCATAGTTTGTTGTCCAATTTGAGAAATGAATTTTGATTCACACTTGCACTACATAAGGTGCATGCATTATGAAATATTTAGGTAATTCAGTAGTTCAATCATTGAAGATGATTTCAAGCATAATGTTAGCGTAATTAATTAGTTGTGCCTCTCTGATTACTTGTAGCTCAATTTAATACTACCCAATTTAAGGTTTCCAGTAAGAAACTTGAATTGAACTTTAAACTCTGCTTCTTTTGGTGATCATTGAAGATGATTTCAAGCATAATGTTAGCGTAATTAATTAGTTGTGCCTCTCTGATTACTTGTAGCTCAATTTAATACTACCCAATTTAAGGTTTCCAGTAAAAAACTTGAATTGAACTTTAAATTCTGCTTCTTTTGGTATTTCTGTCATTGAACTCAATTTCAGGTTCATCTTTTCATCTGATTTAGTTTTGAGGAGTCAGTTGGTTGAATTTGTTAAAGATACATCATTTTGCCATAACGTAGTTAACTAATCATGCTTCCTATAATTCTTGATTTTGATAAGTTGATTAACTATTTTCTCGGTAAACTTTAACTACATACAATTACCTCACTTTGCTCAAGCTAATCAGGCTTCATGCCAGGAATAGAAGAACATCTTGAATTAACAGAATTACAATGCAAAACTGCTCCAGAGTATATGTGGTAATATACAATTGCAATTCACACCTAATTATTATTATGCTTCGTCAAAAAAGTTGTCTACCTTTAATCGTTTCTGTTTCTCTTCATTTTAATCAATTCAAAATTATTAGTCTCATTTATTTTCTTCTCTTATATATACTTGTTATATATACTTGCATGTAGATCTAACGCGTGTATTCCCTTCAAATCACGCTTTCATCTTGGATTTGAAAAGCAACAAACTCATCAAAGACCCCTTCACCATTTTCTCTGTTCCTTTTCGTCTCATTTATTCTTCTTCAATTATAACTGATCTTTCTTGCTGAAACCTTTGCTTGAGCAGTAGAAAATTTGGGGAAAATTGGAAGCTTCCTCAGCTGTTTAACTTCAACTTTGCTCAGGTTAGTACTTTTTAGTCTCATTTTGTTTGATGCGATATCAGTTTCATAACTCTTACAAGCTGAAATGTTGCATCTTTGTCCAGTAAACTCCATTGTTTGACAACTTTTTTCCCTTTCTAGTTTTCTATTTCAGCTAAGATTTCTTCATGTCTTTTTGGTTTCATATTGTAGTATTTTGACTCTAGTATAATTACAATCTCTTTAGTATTAGTATTAATGTGTTGTGGCGTGGAGCTTCTGGATTTATCTCGTATATAGTTATCATTTTGATTAAGTTATCTGAACATAATTATCACTTGATTTCTTTGTTCATCGTGATTGAATGAGTTTGTGTTGTAGCTGCCTTAGAATTAGATTTTGTTTTCTGTGGTTCAGCTACTGTTTATCCCTGCTCTCTCTCTCTTTATTTGAAGTTGTGAAAAAATGCTAAAAATCCCTCTCTTATTCATGTCTAAAATGTCTGCAAAACAGTGGCATACTTTGTTAATTTTGTTTACTGCTTTGCTCATGTTCAAAATGTTCAGTTTCATTCCATTAATATATGTGTCTACTACTGCCCTTTTCTTAGTGGTATGAGACATTGATTCTGCATTGTCATTGTTTGTGGACTGCTATGTGTTAGGAAGGAAATTTGTTTTTGAAGGTGGTGGTTTACTTCATTTTAAACTAGTTTTCGCCTTACTCCTTACTTTTTGAATTTAGTTCTTGTTACCCTCATATATGAAATTTCATATTGCATTTTAGACTTAATAATATCAACTCCAATAGTCTACTTCGTTTTTTGATTGATAATCGCTTCCTTGTCATTATCTTTGTCTAAGTAATTATGTCCCAAATCCACCTGATTAATTCACTCCCTCAACACCTGATTGAAGACATACGAGTCTACCAGAGCATCTTCAGCTATCTGTAATAGGACAGTAAAGAAAACGGTGCTTGTTGCGTCTCTTCCCCCATAATACCTCTTCTCTATAGGTTGTCGTGGGCTTAAAAGACATGTTTTTCGCAACCAGCCATCGACAGCTTGTTAACATAGACACCTGCATTTTAGTTTGGGGCTGGCTATTTTATTGATTCACACCTCAGTATTTGAACTGTATTTTAGTTTGAAAAGTGCTAAACAAGACTTGTTATGTGGATGGGTAATGAGACGTGATGGTTTTCAACTCACTTCATTATGTAGCTTATAATTCACTATATATACATGGTTTATGCAAGTTTATCCATCAATTCTCAGTGTTAGTTGTTGACTCCATCACTTTTATCACTTAAATGTATGGCCTCACATTTTTAACCTTACCAATTGTTATCTCTGTTGCCTTTGAAATGCACTTTGGTTACAACTTATGGGACCTCTAAGAATATCTTGAATTTTTTCTCCTGCTGTCTTGTTCTTTGGTCTGAAGTGGACTACAAAATTCTGAAAGTTTTTTTGCCGTTAAATTTTAATTTGTAAACTGTAATCTGCAATCTACAATTTGGAACCTGCAATCTTGAACTGTATTCTGCAATCTGGAATCTGGAACTATAATCTGTAATCTGCAATAATCTGGAATTTGGAACTGTAATTTGTAATCTGCAATCTGGAACCTGCAATCTTGAACTGCAATCTGAAATCTGGAACCTGTAATTTGGAACTCATGTAATCTGTAATCTGCAATAATTTGGACTTTGGAACTGTAATCTGGAACTCAAAAAATCTGCAGTCTGCAATCTGCAATCTGGAACTGCTGCAATCGGGAATCTGGAACTTCTTGCCTCTTCTATAACGTACTGCTGCAATCTGATTTGTTGTACTTTTAAATGTGTAGGGAAATGAAGGTGATCAGATTTGAAGGGTCGCCACAAGTCAATTTGATCTCATTGAAGTTGATGAATAGTTTTTGAACTATTGTAAAAGTTTGAATACATTATGTTTGATTTTGTGAAATATATTCATTGCTAGAATATATTGAACTATTGTAAGAGTACTTTCTGAACTATTGTGTACACATATTTAGAATATTGATTTATAAGTATGTGTATGTGTACACAAGATATACTATCTTTTGAAGTTTATTGCAAATCTATATATTTGAATTACTTATGAGCCAATTTAATGCTTGAGATTATTTATTGCAAAATAATATTGGTGTTTTTTCATTAGTTAATTAGAAATTGTGGCATATAAATATTTTATAGCCAAAATGATATGGCCACACTTAAAAGTGTAGCCATAGGGCTATAAATTGTGGTATGCACGTGGTCAAGGACTACACTTCAAAATGTTGTCATACACTAGATGGAAAAGGCAACACTTTAAAATCGTTGTCATACATTAAATAGAAAAGGCAAAACTTTAAAATCGTGGTCAATAAGGAAGAAAAGGCCACACTTGAAAGTGTAGTTGTATGAGATAGAAATGTTGCTATTTGAGGTACATAGAAGCGTTGCCATTTAGCCTTTTAGGCTACGCTTTTAAGCGTAGCTGATAAGGAAACACTTTTCAAGTGCTGCCTAAACTCTAAGGTAACGCTACTTTCGGGCACCCCTGGAAAAGTGTTGCTTAAAGTCCAAAAGTGTAGCCTTTTATCAAAGGCCACACTTTTTGCTAGTTTAGGCAACATCTTACTGGGGTGGCCGTAGGCCTAAAATGGTGTAGTGTGACTTGAACGAATTATTTTTAGTTTTTTTTGGAACTCAAGGTGCAACATCTAGTGACCTTAACACTCAAGAAATTTTAAATTCCTCAGTAAAATCCTACTCACAATGAAGGATGGTTCGAGTATTAGTTCAAAAAAATTCTAGGGTGTTACAATATCTCCCCCTTAGGATCATTCGTCCTCGAATGACGGCTGGACTGGTTATGGAATGGGTCTACTCTTATTATTTCTGCCATTCCAACTAGAATTGCCCGCATTACTCTTCGAGACCAACTAAGGGCTTTAATTTAGCTATTTCTCATAGCAAAACCTCATCCTCCTCTTCCTTCACATTTATAACTTTAGATGAATTAAACACACCATCACTATCACGATAAGATCATTAACCTTCCCTTTCTAACATCACTACATTACTAAATGGACCTCTAAAAAGATATCCCCCAAACTCTTTGGAACTCATTACTAACTTATTCTCAAACACTTGACTTGATTTCTCATCTTGCCATCTCCCCTTTAGGTCTAAAGCTAACACTTGAAAGTTATGGACCTATTCCATCATATATAAACTGGTCTACATCCTCTTTTACTCTAACAATCAGGAGAAGTTTATCTCATGCCTATCGAACTCTCCATAAGCAGGTACTAAGACCTCTCTCTAACGTGTTCCTCTTAACCTCTTCTGATTACATACCATCTCGATACACCTCTTAATGCTCTTGTAACTCTTGTGACTTAGCCACACTTCATTTCCCTTATCTAAAGGTTAGGGTCTCTCACTTGTACCACTCATATTTATTGCAGCTAACATCTCAATTTCTCACCTGCTCTATGTTAAGTCTTCTAGATCAAATCCCAAGACTAACATCATCACTCTCATGTTGCCAATTTTTTGGTTATGACACTTATCTCAAATTCAAGCTTAATGTTTATTACTAAACCTGAATATCAATATGATTACTCGCCTACTATACTAACTCGCCACTACTATGCACAATTTTAGAAACACTCGTTCACTAGGACCTTATGACAAGTACTCAATCCTTATATCTCTGTCTACATACTCACAAATTACCATCACATTCCACTTCACAACTTAAGTACTACTTACTCACTTACTGCGCATTATCTCTCAAATAGTTCTATCATCCTCTAAATATCATAGGGTTCTCCTTTCAAAATTTATAAGCCTAGCTTGGGTCTATCACTTCATTAGTACTCTACTATTTGATTCCACACCTATATTTAGTATCCTCTAACACGATGACACATCGACCTCAACTCTTATTCTGGTTAACAATATAACTTATATTGACTAGTAACTATTCCTCTTTCTTCTATCAAGAACTCTCTACAACCTTATTATTCTTTTTTTCTACTCATAAAGGAACTCATCACTTATAATTTACTAGGTACACGGTTGCAATAACATAATTTGTCTCATCACTATCTCATTCTCTTAGATAATTGAACCTCTGCATACTTTCCTCTAATTTTGGGTACTTTCACTACTACTGCTCATGATCTCGTAACTTATGTTACCTTTTCGGGCAAAAATACTACACAAGCTCTAATCAGACTTCCTCATAAGGATCTTAGTTATAACAAGGCTTAAGGAAAAGAGTACAACTCGCTTTTAGCTCAAACGCACGATTCATATAATTATGGGTACATTCCTCTAAAACTCAACACTTAACTCACTCATGGGCTTCTCTCAAGCCCTTCTGGAGTCTCATGACTTCCTCAAGACTCTTGTTAAGAATAACTCATCGATAAAGGACTGGCTTTTCTATTCAACCACCTCTAGTATGAGGGGTAGTCGAATGAATCTGAGAAACGCACGAGTATGAATAATCTCTATGACTTAGCTCTATTGAACGATTAAGAGTATGAAAGAAGGAAAACTTTTCTTAAATGTCTGCAGTCCCTAATTTAAAGAAGTGGAGCCCTCACAACCATAAACAAGATTGTACCGTCACATCTTCATAGACACCCTAGGACACCTGAACTCTGTGCTCTGATACCAAGTTTTTCACGTATCCGAGTCTACACCCTGGACGTGGCCGACACTCGAGAACCATTGTCGATCCCCAAGCGAACCTTCATCCTTGCCGACTACAAGCAGAAGACTAACTTAAGCATTCAAAAACTTAAAAACTGAATTAAGTTCAATAAACTCAACTTTAAAATAATCTAAACAATACTCAATAGTTAACTCAGAGATTGTAAAAACAACTCAAAGAAGATACATACTGAAAACTACTCAACTTTATCTATCTATGAAGCCTCTACTATTATAGAAGGATATCGGGACAAGACCCACAACATCTCAAAACTACTAACTGTAAGATAAAGGTAAAGTTCTTCGAAATATAAGAAGGCTCACCAAAGCTGATTGGAACATCCCATGACCTCAACGAAACGCCTGCTGATGATCCTGAATATCTGTATCTGCATCATGAAACGATGCAGGCTAAATGGCTAAGTACATGGAATATATGAGCATGTAAGGGGAATTCTAAAGCATAAACATAAGCTTGAATTGGTGGAAAAGAAACATACTTACCTCTTCTCAACTCAACTCAAAGAAACATAATTCAACTCAACTCAGAGAAAATAGGGCTCAACTCAATAATAAGATACTCAACTCAGTGAAATAAGGCTTAACTCAATAATAAGATACTCAACTCTGGATACTCAACTTAATATAAAGCAACAATACAGATGCAATATATGGAAAACTTTTAAAACAGTAGAAAGCAACTCAATGTATTGAAAAATACAATAGTAACTCAGTTTGTATGCAAGGATACAAGATAAACTCTGCTTGTATATAAAAATACAAAGTAAACTCTGTGTATATAAGAATACAAAAATATCTCTATGGAAGTTTCTCTAATCGACAACCATCACTATGAATTATATGATGATACAACGTCAAACCCACGCTTCCAGAGCCATCCTATACTTTGCCTGGGTATAGAACCTACTACTAAGTGGATCACTAGTCTATGCTAAAAGCATTAAGGAATCATCTAAAAAGTATGACCCTTTCTACCCACATTGGCTACATGGTTTATGAGGGTTGTGAGTTGTATGATCTCTCCCCCATATTGGTGCTCAATACTACTCCCGAAATATACTTAGCTCATTATGTTTCAAAGAAAACATTTCT